GCAGTTGCACGGTTTAACTCACTTAACCCCCTGCGATACCTTCAGCTTCGCCTGAAAAAGGGTTTACTTGATAATTTGTGTATCATATAATATTCAAAATTGTTATGGGCCTCACTGGGACGTCGGTCGTGTAGGGGTGTAGGATACACTACTCTAGATAAGGTGGTCTATAAAACAACCTTACTAGAATGTAGCAAGTAGTATAATTATACTTTTCCCGTGTCAGTCAGATGGTTTGGTCGATTGCCCCCTACTTATACTATAAAAATGCTGCTAGAATATAGAAATTAGTATTTTAATTGTAATTTTCGGGCGTCCGGATGACAGCCTTCAGGTTGTATTTTAGCGCGCACTACTGTATCTTTGCAGCTTTCACTTAAAAACATCTAACGATTCCGATATAACGAAATCCAAAGGTGGAGAATTCCCAGCTGTGAGCACTGTGTTGGAGAAAAAGAATTTCTGAGTGTACAGCATGGCCTCAGTTACACGTAGTTTGAAAGGATGACCTCTCAAATTCGTCGTTGTTGCTAGCTCAAAGAAATCTCCTGACACAAGATAGTCATCTTGAGTAGTTAAGATGCGAAATGTTAGTAGCAGATCCCCTCGAAGCTGTCTGTAGCCTTTTGCCTTTTCGAAGATGCTGAGCTCTTTCGCAGCTCTCACTGAACGGCAACGGCCAGTCCCTTGAATATGGTTGGAATCGGTTAAGGTTCGCCTGTAGATGCTCTTCGTCAGCTGCAGTTCAAACGACGCCCCCAAGTTTTTACCACCGGCAAACACGGCGATCCAGTTCACTGCCTCAAACATTGATGTAGATAATGCAAAAAGTAGGGCCTTGGAGAACATCGATCTCAACCGCAGCCTCCGCCGACCGCTTGTCACTGACATGGACAGTCTGAGAGCGGCCGATTAGAAAGTTTTGTATCCACAACAGAAGTCTGCGTCTGAGTTTGTAAAATAGGCGATGGTGAAGCATGATATTGAAGGCCTTTTTGAAATCGATATAGACTGAATGCACCGTATTGCCTCTATCAACTGCCTGAGCCCACAGTTCCAAACAGTAAAGCGAATTTTTCACACAGGACCTTTCTCTATGGAAACCATGCTAGAAAGCGGAAAACAGATGGTTTTGCTATAGGAATTGCATTAATTGTTGCCTAATTATTTTTTCCATAATTTTTCACAAAAATCAAAGAAAGG